TTTGTGAGAGAACTGCCTGCAAACTGTTCACATTTGCTACAACATTTTGTATCCATTCAGGAGGGTTGTGCAATCGCAGTAATGCAATGTGCGAGCCCATTGTTGATGTGACGATGTGCACTGAATTTTGTATACAGCTCATCGAGACTGTATCTTGCTTAGTTAAATAAATTTCTGAGCCAATTAAATGCCTCTGTAACCCTTTCCACAATCACCCACAAGATGGGTATGGGGTACATAATAAATGAACTCAACTAAATGTAACATGACAGGTGTCTAAAGAGAAGCAAGCATTGCAAGCTTGCAAACACTTTGCAAGCTTGCAATGCTTGCAAGTCTCTTTCTTGCATTAGTCTCTCTACAGAAGCCAAACTTGGGATACTTGGCTCGGATTAGGGGTAATGTGTCATCCTGCATTAAATACACGGAGAATTATAACATTCGTGACTGAGTTATCTCTTAATTTGTTTAAAGTTTTATATTCGCATTCATTTGCATAGTGACATAAGGTATGTAAATAGTGTTGATAACAAAGTTTACATTTGGCCAGATCTACATCAGCCACATGTTTGTAAGGGCCAAACCTCTGGAAGTTTGGCCAGACCAAACTTCCAGAGGTTCTTATAGCCTAGCCTATGTCTAGCGGTGGAAACCCGTAGAGGTCTGCTGAAAGAGGAACGGTGAAATGGAGCTCTCCATTCCCACTTTTCCTATTCCTATAAGTGAAGCGCTCTCATTAGCGCGCTCTATTGTGCACAAAGCTCAGTCCATTCTGACACCCACAGCCCCACACTATCCCCCCCCCCCACGCTCACGCTTTCTCAGCGCCCAAAACCCCACACCAACCCCATGCTCACGATATCCCCCCACGCCCAAAGCTCCACACCATCCCCACGCTCACACCCACACCATCCCCACACCCACACCATCCCCAAGACCCACACCATCCCCACGACTACACCACCTGAACACCCAAATCGTCTCAACACTCACCATCTCCACGCCCACATTATTCCATAGCCCCACACCATTCCACGCCCACAACCCCACACCATCCTTCCCATACCCAACGCCCACCCCACACCCACAGCGTGCTGGAGAGAATAATAAGCAGAAGAATAATGGAACACGTAGAGAGCATTAACTTCAAAACGGGTTTGGAGAAGGGAAGACAAGGTTAGTAAACCTATTAGAGTTTTATGTAGAATTACTCTGGTCAAACAAGGGACAAGAAAAGCACACTGTATATTATTTGTGTCAAAGAGCATTAGTCACTCTCCCACATATGAGGCTCCTATACAAGCTACAGGATCAGGCTCAAATAACCGGCAGCGTACTAGAGTGCGAGACTACCTAACGGATAGGAACCTGTCAGTCATATGAGAAAAACTTACAAGAGAAACATAGTTGACGAACTTCTTTATGTCGCTGCTCACCAACCTGTTCTGCTCACATATGACGCTAAGTTGACCAGACCACACACTAGAAGGTGAAGAGACGACGACGTTTCGGTCCATCATGGACCATTCTCAAGTCGATTGTGAAGACAATCGACTTGAGAATGGTCTGGTCAACATACTTTAGCCACGTTATTGTGACTCATCGCCTGCATATGACGCTAAGGCTTACGAGAAGGTTCAGGACGAACGTGAACCGAGATGGGCTACAATTGTGAGGTAAACAGATACTTTGAACATTAACACAAACTTTCAGACAAGAACTGGCGTTCATTACAAATACCGATAAGACTCATGACACATAAACAAAAGGGAGCACTAGATGAGACATGATCCAGGCATACAAAATACGCAGTTTTTTGAACGGCTGATCATATACGTTCATCAATAAGGATGTGAGACAACCTTCGGTGTGAAGGTAGAAATAAGAGAGAGCTACTAGAGAAGAGTTACTAGAGGATAGTTAAAAAAAAAAACTACTTGAGGTTTAATAAAACACATAACAAATGGCCAACCATTCGAAAGTCGGTGCCCAGGAGCTCAATCTGGGTCTTGCAAACTCTGTTACATATATACATACACACATATACACACACATACATACATACAGTACATACATGCATACACTCCCACACGCCTCTTGCTATACCTTGGTCGTCAGAAATAGATAACTAAAATTAGCCAGATATTTTAGTGCCAAATTCCGTGCCCTCATTCTTGTTGTTGCTCATTGTTGTTGTTTGTGTTCTTGTTCCTGTTCTTGTTTCTGTCGTTATCGGTGTTATTCTTGTTCTTATCATCATGTCTTTGGTTGGTCTTTGTTCCCTTATCTTTAGTGGCATCGTTGCGCTTAACTATTAGTGGTTATCTAGCACTGCTTACCTTGCAGGAGTCACCTAACACTGCTTACCTTGCAGTGCTTACCTAACAATGACAATCTGAAGTGTGAAGTCTAGTTCTTTATTTAGCCCTTCCTGCTAGCTAGTCCCGCTGTACCTGTTGTCTGGGATATAACTTTCTTGACGTTCAAGACCAGCGAAGCATACATGTATGTGCATATATATGGGTATGTGTATATGTGTATGTACGTGGGAAAGGAAGAAATGGAAGGGTGGGAGGGAGAGAGAGAGAGAGAGAGAGAGAGAGAGAGAGAGAGAGAGAGAGAGAGAGAGGGAGAGGGAGAGGGAGAGGGAGAGGGAGAGGGAGAGAGAGAGGGAGAGGAGGGAATGGTGGATGACAAGTTGAAGGAAGGTAACTGGTGAGGCGCCTAGCGAACCTCACTTGTTATTGTCAGCTGATTTTTGTTGACAGTGTTGGTGGGTGGAGGGCGGCCGGCTCCTGATGTTTGGGGTGTACGTACCACGCCCCACTCAGTGTTAAATATGTAAAGGTTTTAACCATACCTCGAAGGGCTGCACCCTAGACATCAAATGTGGGAAATGCTTTAGTTCTCATTACACACAAGACTGTGCGTCAGATATACTCACCCCTCCTCAAACTGTGGTGGCGATAATGACATATTCAAACAATGTCCTTCATACATAGCAGCAAAAACTACGGCTCTACCCACCAACAACCTGCAATACAGTAGTGTACCGAAACAACTCAACTCGGTCTATTATCAACCATTACCTCACACTCAACCACAACCTTTGCTTGTACCCGATATGTCTATCACTGACAATCCTGTAACCCCAGAACCTAATCCTCTTCCACTAAACCTACAACTGTGTCCCGATCATGTTGAAACCCTTGTCACTCCCTTTGAAAATGCACTAGAATAGACGCTGGACCGACTCCTAAATTCTTTAAACAAATAAATCAACCCATCCCCGAGGCTGACCCAACACACGCCTCATCCACATCTACAGACAATAACATCCAATCTAACGCAGCTAACATTGATGTATACAAATCGTTTTAACTAATGCTGGACAAACTCTTAAATAACTACTTAGCACGCCTTACACAAGTCATTCCCCAGGCTGACTTGCCACATGCGGTCGAGGAGTCACAATAACGTTGCTAAAATATGTTGACCAAACCACACACTAGAAAGTGAAGGGACGACGACGTTTCAGTCCGTCCTGGACCATTCTCAAGTTGATTGTGACTTGCCATAAACCCCCAACCACCGGAACTAAGAGTAAGAAACCCCCCAGCTGTACGAACCTCCCAGCGACCTGACACTTTGACGGAAAAGAACACGTAAACCACACTCTCCCACGACACATCCTCCAACCACTCCCAGGTATTCCACACAGTGTACTACCCACACATCAAAGAAGACCGACGCAGTCATATCCCCCAGACGTAAAGAGCCAAAATACGACAACATAACATATAACCCATCCTCAACTAGCCTATCCCAACCTAACCTAATCTTATACACAATAACCCCATGTTACTTAATGTACTCTAACTTAATCCACCCTAACCTATGTAAATTGCAACTAATTCCCAAACATATTAACGGACTCACCATAGTCCGTGCTACATGGACACTTCGTTCTGAGTAGACAAATCTAAAACAACAACATCCCAAACATACTTCGACTCACACACTCAGTCTCTTGGCTATACCCCCCACACTTTCCATAGAACAGGAACACTTTGCTATCACCCTCAACATAACTCCTAATCTTTGCCATCCTGAGACCATTTAACCTCATATGTTTATTTGTGTCTTTATCCTCGCACAAATAGAAGACATCGATAACTTCCAACCTCTGCCAAATCATGAACATTGCTGCGCCACAGTGAGTGAGGCGTCTCCCAACATTACCACTCGTGCCGTCATCGGGTGGAAAACCCTTCATGTAAACTGCACGTATCGCGAGGACGTTTGGGGTCGTATTTGAGGGTTGCCGCCAGCGACGGCGAGTTTAGAGTGCACTCTCATGCTCATCCTGTGTGAGGTAGTTTATTGTGCACACTCATATTCATCCTTTGGGGAAAGGGGGATGGATAGTTATTATGAACACTCTTATGGGGTAGTCTAAGAACAAAGGTAACTGCAGAGGGCCTATTGGCCCATACGAGGCAGCTCCTATCTATAAGCACCCAATCCCACTCATATACATGTCCAACCCACGCTTGAAACAATCGAGGGACCCCACCTCCACCACGTTACGCGGTAATTGGTCCCACAAATAAACAACCCTGTTACCGACCCAAGTCTTTCCTGTGTCCCCTTGTTCGTGTTCCACCCGTGCTAAAGAGTTTGTCTTTGTCCACCCTGTCAATTTCCCTGAGAATTTTGTAGGTAATTATCATGTTTTCCCTGACTTCTGTTTTCCAGGGATGTGAGGTTCAGCTTCCTTAGGCTTTCCTCGTAGCTCATACCTCTCAGTTCCGGGACTAGTCTGGTGGCATACCTTTGAATCTTCTCTTTGTCTTGTGTATTGGTATAGACTGTGTGTGTCTGTGTGTGTGTGTGTGTGTGTGTGTGTGTGTGTGTGTGTGTGTGTGTGTTTAAACACATGTGTACATATATACATGAAGAAATCATGTGCTGCTGGACGTCCTACAGCGAGTACTTACCTCACAATGCACACATTCATTGACAATCCTGAAACAAGAAAGAACACTGTACAACTTAATGCCACAATAGTTTGAAGGAACATACAGCGATAATAAAATAATAAGAGCAATAATACTAAAACACATCTTAATTGACGTGAATTTTATACAATAACCATTGAGAAATTAGGAACAAAAATGGTTCGATATGCGGCAAAAAATATAATCACTGGGTCACTATTTTCACTGTATCACTGATTATATTGTTATAATGCATCATTGTATTTATGTGTCATTGCATCACTGTGTCACTGCATCCATGTACTCACCTAGTTCACGTAGTTGTGTTTGAGGGGGGTTGAGCTCTGGCTCTTTGGTCCCGCCTCTCAACTGTCAATCAACTGGTGATACAGTGTGCATGTGCTACTGTACACATGCACACTGTATCACTGCATCAGTAAAAAATACAGTAAGATAGTGATGTATTTGTGGTCAAAAGGGCAAGGCGGAATTCATTTTGCACTGCATCACTGTAGCACTCTATCCCTGTATTACTGAATCACAGTCTCACTGTATTGTATTACCACTGTATCCTACATTACCTAATTCATGCATCACTGTCACAGTCACTATATTACTGTCTCTGTATTCACGGTATTCTTTTATCACTGTATTCCATTTTCACTGTAACAGCTTGTTCTCTCACCTCAAACGTCGCATTTGAGACGGAATCGACCAATACGTTGAAAAAAGTGACGTATTAGTATAAATTAAAACACCATAATATTGACGCTGTCTATACATCGGCCTCGTTAGGTTAGGTGGGATGTTTGGGTTAGGTTAGGTGGGATGTTTGGGTTCGTTCGATCAATGAGCCGGCTTCGACATATGCTGCTGTAGCTCAGTGGTCTACGGCTCCTGCTCACAACCGAGCGGTGACATACATACATACATACATACATACATACATACATACATACATACATACATACATACATACATACATACATACATACATACATACATACGGTGGTCCAGTGGTAGAATATGCAATTCTTTGGTCGAAAGTTATAAGAATATAATTATAATAACCCAACCTAACCTAACCTAACCTAACCTAACACAATTAAATCAATAATTTATGTTCTTAATATGATATAATAATAACAATTCACTATAATAATATACTTATAATTATAAGAAGAATATAATTATATATATATATGATACAAAACACTATTCCGGCATATACCATGGGTAGACCTCGTATTCCGGTTAACTTGAATCAGTGTATACCTTCAGGGAAAGTATTCTCATACATTAGTTTACAAGACGTGTCTAAGGTGGGTGTCAATTTCAAGACAGGTTTACGAGCCGCCCATTCATCAACCTTGTCATTTACACATAATATAAACATTGAAGCGCTCATGTGCCACATGCAAATCACGGCGAGACAAGTGATTAACAAATGCCATGCCGTTGAGGCATTCAAGTGCATATTTGGCAAGAGGTTTGGCACTACCGCCTAGAGAAAGAATTATATACAAGGTAGGATAGGTCCTTATTTTCTGTGGGGTATTATGGCACTTGTTGACATATGAGCGATACAGGTGTGTGTGTGGCACTTAGGGCAGGTGTGTGACACCGGGGGGGGGGAAGGGGTTCAGCTGTGCAGGGTTTAGTGCAGGTTTGTGACATTTGGAACAGGAGTGTGACACTGAGGTCAGGTGTGTAATAATGAGGCAAGTTTGTAACACTGGAGGCACGTGTGTGACACTTGGGGGGAAGCTGTGCAGCTCTTGGGCAGGTGTGTTTGACGCTTGGGGCAGGTGTGTGACGCTTGGGGCAAGTGTGTGACGTTTGGGGCAAGTGTGTGACGCTTGGGGCAGGTGTGTGACGCTTGGGGCAGGTGTGTGACGCTTGGGGGGAGCTATGAAGGGATTGGGGCACGTGTGTGACGCTTGGGGCAGCTATGCAGCGCATGGGGCAGGTGTGACGCTTGGGACAGGTGTGTGACACTTAGGGCAGGTGTGTGACGCTTGGGGCAGGTGTGTGGGGACTGGTGTGGAAAACAACAATGAATCACTTACTCTGGTCCTGTGTCTCGCACCGTCCTCGCCAGCACACTGTCGACCCGACCCTCCGTGGGCTGCTTCCCCGCGCTGCCCCTCCCCGCCCGCCTCCACCCTCCGTGGGCTGCTACCCCGCGCTGCCCCTCCCCGCCCACCTCCACCCTCCGTGGGCTGCTACCCCGCGCTGCCCCTCCCCGCCCGCCTCCACCCTCCGTGGGCTGCTACCCCGCGCTGCCCCTCCCCGCCCACCTCCACCCTCCGTGGGCTGCTACCCCGCGCTGCCCCTCCCCGCCCGCCTCCACCCTCCGTGGGCTGCTACCCCGCGCTGCCCCTCCCCGCCCGCCTCCACCCTCCGTGGGCTGCTACCCCGCGCTGCCCCTCCCCGCCCGCCTCCACCCTCCGTGGGCTGCTACCCCGCGCTGCCCCTCCCCGCCCGCCTCCACCCTCCGTGGGCTGCTACCCCGCGCTGCCCCTCCCCGCCCACCTCCACCCTCCGTGGGCTGCTACCCCGCGGTGCCCCTCCCCGCCCGCCTCCACCCTCCGTGGGCTGCTACCCCGCGCTGCCCCTCCCCGCCCGCCTCCACCCTCCGCGGGCTGCTACCCCGCGCTGCCCCTCCTGGAGTATACAACTCCAACATGGAGTTCATATCTCATCAATTATAAGACTAAACTGGAGAAGGTTTAAAGGTTTGCTACCAGACTAGTACCCGAACTGAGGGGTATGAGCTACAAGGAGAGACTACAGGAATTAAACCTCACGTCGCTGGAAGACAGAAGAGTTAGGGGGATACACGATCACAACATACAAGATACTCAAAGGAATTGATACAGTAGATAAAGACAGATTATTTAACACAAGGACCACACGCACTAGGGGTAAACAGGTGGAAATTGTGTGCCCAAATGAGCCATAAAGACATTAGAAAGAATTTTTTTTAGTGTCAGTGAAGTTGACAATTGGAATGTTTAAGGCAGTGATGTGGTGGAGGCAAACTCCACACACAGTTTCAAGTGTAGATATGATAGAGCCCAATAGGGCTCAGGAACCTGTACACCTGTTGATTGATAGTAGAGAGGCGGGACCAAAAAGCCATAGCTCAACCCCTGCAAGCACAACTAGGCGAGTACACACATACATCTCCCTGACAGAAGAAAAAAAGCTTAGCCTAGCGTCACCGTGGTGTAGTGGTAAGACACTCGCCTGGCGTTTCGCGAGCGCATTGTCCTTGCTTCGTATCCTGGCCGGGAAGGATTTACTGGAAGGCGCAAATCCTTAACAGTAGCCTCTGTTTACCCAACAGTAAAACGGGTACCAGGATGCTAAACGACTTGGTGAGGTCGTATTCCGGGGAATATTAGGATTAAGGGCCTGCCCGAAACACTATGCGTGCTAGTGGCTTTACAAGAATGTAAGAACTCTTGTATATATATATAATAATAATAATAATAATAATAATAATAATAAAATAATAATACCAAACATATACACAAAGTGTCAGCAAAACAGACAGCCCGCCTGCTATCATTACTCATACTATATTTCCCATTCCAAAACTTATTCCTCCACCTGTACTTTCTTTCTACCTCCCCCACCCACCAGAAAAAAATATAATACTTTTCGTCAGGTCACCTTACTTTCCCTTTCTGGAGGCGAGCAAACGCTTGTCGCAGACTCCACCGGCCACGGAGATATATATTTTCCACCAGCACTTATTTGCAGACGATATCATTCCGGGTGAACCATGGTAGTCGTCATGGATTCTAATCTCACCTGGACTGCTCACCTGAAGCCCACCAAGGAAAGGCCAATCAAGCGCAGTGCAGGTAAAGTGTCAAGTAATACCTGGGACGCAGAGCTCTGCTTGAACCATACAAATCACTCTGCAGGGCTAAAATAGACGATGGTAGCCAGGTATGTGCGCCAGCCACCAATACTGGTTAAGAAAATGTTGCATTCCGCACTGATGCACGGCAGAGCTCTGCATGGCAGCACTAAGCACGAGTGCTGAGTTCACAGGAGCGCTCTGCATGGCAGCACTAAGCACGAGTGCTGAGTTCACAGGAGCGCTCTGCGCGAGAACTCTTCTCAGAAGCGCTCTGCGCGAGAACTCTTCACAGAAGCGCTCTGCGCGAGAACTCTTCCCAGAAGCGCTCTGCGCAAGAACTCTTCCCAGAAGCGCTCTGTGCGAGAACTCTTCCCAGAAGCGCTCTGCGCAAGAACACTCCCCAGAAGTGCTCAGCATTAGAACTCATATCACTGGTTTAAAATGTACAAAAATATATGCTGAAAACGTATTCTTTGAAGAGTTTAATTTTCTGTGAACAGAATTCTTGGGTACATTGAAATAGCTTTCGAATTCCACATTTCAAATTATCGTCAATAATACACCATACTAATTTAACCAAACGTAATGAAACCAAACCAAACCTTAACATAACCATGGATTGAGAGTAGATAATAGCACTAATTATGCAGTCGTTCTCAATCCATTCCCGTGAGCGTATTTCCTCCCAGAGGACAGGTTTATTTTCACTGCAGACTGGGATATCCACAGTCATTCCCTGTAGGGTATGCAGGGACATAGCTGAAGATATAATGACCAAACCACACACCAGAAGATGAAGAAACGACGATGTTTCGGTCCGTTCTGGACCATTATCGAGCCGATTGTCTTGATAATGGTCCAGAACGGACCGAAACATCGTCGTCTCTTCAATTTCTAGTGTGTGGTCTGGTCAACATGTAATGTCTTACTAGCCAAAATTGTTGCGAATGTTATGATAAAAAAGTATTATCACAGAAGACGGTAAGATGAATACACAGTCTTCCTGAACTGTCAGAAGTCAGTCATCATAATCCTGTAGGCTATTAAACATATCCGAAAGGAAAGCTGGCGTAACTGATTAGTATTCTGATGGATACGGGAGAATCTCTTATAGGAATGTAGAGGCACGACAGTGAGTGGAAGAAGCTTAG